TGAATTGCAGTGTCGATGAAGAATACTGAATATACCATGGACTGCCAAAAGAATGAACAAATCTGTCTTGGAACAAGTACAACCAGAATGCTCCTTAGAAGCAAGGATGGTGAGACTACATCTCACATATTTTGGACATGTTATCAGGAGGGATCAGTCCCTGGAGAAGGACATCATGCTTGGTAGAGAGTCAGTGAAAAAGAGGAAGACCCTCAAGGAGATGTACTGACACAGTAGCTGCAACAATGGGCTCAAGCATAACAACAAATGTGAGGATGGTGCAGGACTGGGCAGGGTTTCGTTCTGCTGTACACAGGGTCGCTATGAGTCGGAATCGACTTGATGGCACCTAACAACAAGAAGATTTATGAGTGGGTTCCGTGATGTGAGCCTGAAGCCTCCATTATAAAGTTCCTCATGAACCTTTTTACCTGATGGGTTAACAACCACTGATTATTGTCTGCATCTCTTACTTCAGTAAAGGTACCAAAATGGTGATTTTCCAATTCTATCGTCCTTCATATAACAATTAGCTTCTATAAATAAGAACTTTATCTCAGCAACTATTTGATTATGCTGAAACACAATCTACATAGAAAAAGACAGATACATTTTGGATTTTTTTCAATGCTATTTATCAATGATCAAAGTAATGAGCTGGTTTGCTTCCAGACAAGAATGACTTATTCTGTTTTTGTTATTCAGATTCATTATGACTCAAAGAGTATTGTATGTTTCATATATTTCAATCTACTACAGTACTTATTTTTAAAATTTTATTGTGATAAAAAATACATAACAAAAATTTCCATTTTAACCATTTTTAAGTGTACAATTCAGTGACAGTAATTACATTCCCAATGTTGTAAAACAATTACCATTATCCATTTCCAAAAGTTTTCATCACTCCAAACAGAAACTCATGGTATATCCTTTAATCAGTAACTCCTCATGGTACCTATTATTTTTGGTGTTCAAAATGCCACATCTTTGGCCAGAGTCCCTTCAAAGTGGATCACGTGTTCTTTTAAAATTACCTCCTTAGTCTCTTCAATAGCTTCCTTACATTTAGGAAAAAAATTCATTGTATGTATAATATTTCTCCAAGAAACCTGTCCTTTTAGTTAACAACAGCATCTAGAACCCAAAATGTGGCTGGTAGAGGCGTTCATAACTACTGTTCTGTGACTGTTCCTACAACTTGTATGTGACTAGTACTAACCAAAAACCAAAGCCACTGCTGTTGCGTTCATTCCAACTGATAGTGACCCTACAGGACAGAGTAAAACTGCCCCATAGTGTTTCCAAGGAGCCACTGGTGGATTCAAACTGCCGACCTTTTGGTTAGCAGCTGATCACTTAACCTCTGCACCATGAGGGCTCCTGAATAGTACCAGAATACATTTTTAAAAAGAAAAGTAAATCCTGACTTCATAATGGTAGTATCAACTGAAAACTGAAATGGCAGGGTTTTGGACTTCCAGTTCCAACCATGATGGGGTAAGGAGTATCAGGCTTATTATTCAACAATAAAAAACCTTAAAACTTAGATCAGATATAAAAAGCAAACATTTTCAGGTAGTGGACAGCAAAGTGCAAAGTTGTGAACCTCGACAGAAGGGACACACATAAGGTGAGCTCCTCATTTACTCTGACTTTCTGGCTCGGGGCACTTTCAAATTACTGTATATGGCAATGAAACACATGCAGAAATCTGCTGCCTCACTGGACAGAAGAAACAGAAATGAGTACATGGGTCTGTTGAAGTGGCTGGAATATATGACAGACAGTACAGCAGAAACAGGAGGAAAGCAGAGAAGGAGCTCAAAAAATCTGTATTAAGACTTTGGCCAAGTGCAAAACTGTGCATGCATATACTCCATGAGGCATGGCAGAAAAACAAACAAATAAAAAAAACTATTTGGGGGTTGTCAGATGAATGAAGATTCTAAAGCTTGCCTAGTACTGGAAGACAGTGGAATTCATACAAGCCACAAAGGAGAGCCCTCATTGAACTTCCAGGGTATTTACTTGAGACCCAAGAAAGGCCACACTTTAGGAGTGGGGCAATATTAAGTCCCACAGTAAGGACAACTAAAGACCTGTCTTAACGAAGTCTAAAGCCAAGCCTTGAAATGATCAAGGTCTGGAATACCACATGCCTGCAAGAACAAAAATCAAAAGAAAAACGACATAATCCTCTTAACAATGTGGTATTCACAATGATGAGCATACAAACAAAAACAACTAGCCAAATATAGAAGCAGGACAACGTGCCCCACTACTGGAAGAATAAATACAGTCAACAAAAAACAAATACAGAGATTAAAGAGATGTTGGGATTAGCAGGAGCTATTATAAATATGTTCAAAAATTAAAGAGAAATGGACACAAAAGTGAGTACATCAGGGAATCTAAAAAGAAAAACGGAAACCATAAAAACAAACTAACTGGAAATCTAGAACTGAAAAATAAAATATCTGAAAAGACAAGTCACTGAATGGGCTTAGCAGCAGATTGTATACTACAGACAGAATAACCTATGAACTACAAGACAAGTCAATAAAAACTACTCAAACCAAGTATAGAAAGAAAAAATAACTTAAAAATAAAAGAACAGACCTGCAAAGACCTGTTTAGGGGTGAGGGTCTGAAATGTATATACTTGGAGTCCTACCCAAAAAAAGAGAGACTGGAATAGAAAGAATATTTGCAGATAATGTCTGATTATTTTCTAAATTTGATGACTAGTATCCATGAACAAATATAAAGATGCTCAACGAACTCTTAGTAAAAAAAGAAAGCCACATATAGCCACATCATAGGCAAATTACTGGAAAGCAAAGACAGAGAAAACATTTTCAAAGCAATGGAAAAAAGATACATCATATACAGAAGAATGAAAAAACAATGATGAATTTTCATCAAAAATAATGGAAGCCAGAAGACAATGAAATGAAAAATTACAAGTAGAGAAAAACAAAAACTCTAACTTAAAATTCTATCTAGAGTTAAAAAATGAAGGCAAAATAAAGATAAAATCAAATGGATAAAAACTAAAAGAATTCACAGCCAGTGGAACCACACTACAAAAAATGTTAAAGGAAAATTTTCAAACTAAAGGAGAATGATGTCAGATAGAAACTCAGATCTATGAGAAGGAAGAAGAGTGCCCTCAAATAGAAAATATATTAATAAATAAAGATGGGAATTTTTCATCCCCCTGAAGTCTTGTTAAAACCAAACAATAGTCTAGCTTACCTAGTAAAAAAAGTCTGCCTTGAGTCTTTTGCTCTTTTAAGGACTATGTATATGGGATTAAATTGACAACAGCAACTTGAAAGATTAGATAGAAGCCTTAGGGGCCAGTGATTTTATGTTAATGGGAAAGGAACAACTCAGAAAAGGAGGGTGAAAATGGTTGCATCACTTGAAGAATATAATCAATATCACTGAATTGTATATGCAGAAACTGTTTAACTGGTGTGTGTTTTGCGGCGTATATTTTCAACAACAACAACAAAATAATTAAAAATTTTAAAAAGATCGATATTTTTCTTGTTTCTTAATTTATTTAAAACACAGTTGACTGTATAAAACAAAATAATAACAATACCGTATGGTTTATAACATATATAGAAGTAAATTATACGGCAATAAGACCACAACTGACAAGAAGCAGTTAAATGAAAGCATATGTTGTAAAATTCTTTAGTAAATATGAAAAGGTATAATATAAATTTGAGGTGATCTGTGATAAGGATGTATATTGTAATCTTTAAAATGACAACAACAACCAAAAAAAAAAAAACAAAGAACAGCTAAAAGACAAATAGAGAAAACAAGCGGAAGATCAAGGAATACCTGATTAATCAAAATTAAGGTGAGAAAAGGATAAAAAAAAATAGACTGGACATTGGAACACATATAACAAGATGACAGAACTCAACTCAACTACATCAATTATTACAATTAATGTAAATAGATTTGACACTCCAATTAAAAATTCATGAACTGCCAGACTACATAAGAAGGGCAAGACCCAAGTACATGCTACTTTTAAAATAAAACATTTTAAATATTTAAATATTTTAAATATAACGACAAAACAGGTTAAAAGTAAACCAACAGGAAAAGACAGCCCATGCAAACACTGATCACAGAAAAGCTGGAATGGCTAACTAATATCATACAAAGCAGACTTTAAAACAACTGGCATTATGATACATAAAAAGAGGTATCTTACAATGATAAAGGGTCAATTTATCAAGAAGTCATAACAATACTAAATCTGTATGTTACTAAGAACATAGCTTCAAAATACATAAAACAAAGACCGACAAAATAAAGGAACGAATAAATAAATTCAAGATTGCAATTGTAGATTTGAAACTCCATTACTAACAATTGATAGAATGTGTAAATCAAATATCAATAAGGATAGAGAAGATGTGAACAATTATCAACGAACTTAGTCTCATTACCACTTAGAATATTTTACCCAACAGCTGCAGACTATACATTTTTTACAAGTATTCACAGAACACCATGATAGACCATATCCTGGCCTATAAAAAGATCCAACAATTTGGAAAGACTGAAATCACAGAGTATATCTGTGACCACAATAGAAGTAAATTAGAAATCAATAAAAAAAAAATCATGAACTCCTCGAATATCTGAAATTAAAACATATTTCTAAATAACTCAAAGGTCAAAGGAAAATATTACAAGAGAAATTAGAAAACATTTTCATAATAAAATGATAATGAAAAATTACCTATCAGAATTTGTGGGATGCAACTAAAGCAGAGCTTAGAAAAAAATTTATAATTATATTAATAAGTACAAAATGTCTAAAATTAATGATACAAGCTTTTATATTAAGAAGCTAGAAAAAGTAGAGCATGTTAAGTCCAAAATAAGTGGAAGGCAGGTGCAATAGGAACCTGTGAATATATGGCAAAAGGGACTTTTCCAATATGACTAAGGTTACAGACCTTGAGCTGGGGAGATTATCCTGGATCATCTGGTTGGGCCCAGTCTAATCACATGAGTTCTTAAAAGTAGAGACATTTTCTCAGCTGAGTCAGGGAGAAAATGTGATCATGCAAGAAGACTCAGAGAGATGCAGAGTTGCTGACACGGAAGAGGAAGGAGGTCACAAATCAAGACATGCAGGCAGCCTCTAGAAGCCAGAAAGGCAAGGAAAGGGACTGTCCCCTAGAGCCTCCAGAAAGGAACACACCTCTGCCAACACCTTGATTTTAGCCCAGTGAGACCTGTGTCGGAGCACAGAATTATGAGAGAATAAATATGTGTTGTTTTAAGCCACTAAGTTTGTGGTAATTTTTTATGGCAGCAATAGAAAACAAATACAGCAGAAAATAATAATTGTGAATTGAAACTAATGAAAACACGTAACAGGCAAACAATAAAGGAAAACAAAATAAAGTTAGTTATCTGTAAATATATATATTTTTTACTTTAAAAACCTAGATCAAGGAGAAAACAAACATCACAAATAACAGCTATGAAAGCTATTGTTACAGACCCTATAGATATTAAAATAACAATACAAGATTGTTATGATGACCAACTTCATGCCAATACATATAAAAAATTATACTAACTGGACAAATAAAAAATACGACTTACCAAAATTGACACAAACTGAAAAAAAAATCTGAACAGTCCTTTAGCTATTGTAGAAACTGAATTTGTTGTCAAATACCTTCCCACCAAGTACCAAGAAAACTCCAGGCACTGGTAAATTTTGTCAAACATGCAAAGAAGTAATAACATCAGTCTCATATAAAATCTTGCAAAAAATAAAATCTTTCAAAATCATTGTATACAGCCAGTATAACTCTGATTTTAAAATTTGATACGAGATAAAAGATATGAGAAAAACTGCACACCAATATCTCCCATGACTGCAGACACAAAAATCCTTAGCCAAATATTAGTACAATGACTCCAAGAACATACAAGAATAATGTATTGTGAGTGTGATGGTTAAGGTTGTGTGTCTACCTGGCTGGGCCATCATTCTCAGAGTTTGGCAGTTATGATGTAGCTTGGCAGCTATGTAATGATGTAATCACCTCCATAATGACATCTGATATAATGTAATCTCCTCCATGATGAGACCAGTTATGAGTCACCAGTCAGTTGAAAGGGATTTTTCTTGGGGGTGTGGGCTGCATCCAATATAGATGGACTTTCTGGCAAAGCTTGCTGGCTTTTGCTCATTCTGGACCCTGCAGCTGACTCCTGTTCATCTGACTTCTGGTTCTCAGGACTTGAGCTAGCAGCTTACCTGTTGTCTTACCTGCCGATCTTGGGATTTGTCAGCCTCTGCAGTCTGTGAGCCAGAGGTCTGCTGTCTGACCTGCTGATCTTGGGTTCACCAGCCCCTGCATCTATGTGAGTCAGGAGAAGCCTCTAGCCTGACCTACAGACTTGGGACTTTCCAGCCTCTACAATCGTGTGAGCTATTTCCTGGATATAAATCTCTCTATATATTTATACACTTCACTGGTTTTGCTTCTCTAGAAAACCCAGCCTAAGACAGTGACCAGGCAGAGTTTACACCAGCAATACTGTGGTGAAATGAGTTCTTTTACGTGGCCTTTTGCCTTGGTTCTTTAGAAATCTAAACAGCTTCAGAGATTTTTACCCTAAACCCTGAGGAGTTACCTTTGCCCTAGCTTTTTACCCCAAATGGTTTGTTACTGTCGTCCAGGCTGACTGACATTTCCTGGGTAAGCTGTAAACAACATGTGGTTTGGTACTTTTTGTCTGGCCCTGGGCTGCAGCCTGCCCTGTGATTGGCATGCACCTTGCAGGGACTGGTCAACAGACTATGCAAATCAGGTGAGTTGTAGCCTACTACGCAAATGAAGTGTCCTCTGCCCTACCGAGAGGGGACTGGTCCGTTTGTGGCCCCCGCTTGGAGGGGCCCTGCCTTGAAATTTACAAGGAGTTGTGCAGAGAAGCAGCCAATCCCACAGAGATTTTTGAGACAGAAAGAAGCAGGAAGAGAAGGGCAGGAAGAAGCAGAAAGAAGAAAGAAGAGAGAGGAAGCACAGAGAGAGAGGAGGCAAGGAACCTCCTAAAAGAGCTGTACCACTGAAGATGATGATGACAAGCCCGGAAGGGGCCCAGTGGCAGAGCTGGCAGTGACAGACGGCAGGGCCAAGGGGAGCCTGCACTAAGAGAGCCGAGAGGAGCCTGTCCTCAGACGGCTGAGAGGAGGCCTGTCATAATGGGGCTGAGAGGAGGCCTGCATGGCTGAGAGGAGCTGAGAGAGCTGTCCTGCACTGAACAAGGGAGACTTTGCCTACATGCTTCCTGATCCTGACCCTCAGCTGTAACTTACTGATCCTGATTTTGAGTTGTACCCTGTTCCTTAATAAGCCACTTAACTGTAAATATGGTCTGTGAGTACTGTGTGGCTGTTGCAAAGGATTATTGAACCCAGCAGAGAAGTAGAGAGTGCCGTGGGAGGGATGGCTGGCGTCAGAACTGGTAAAAAGGCTGGAGAGTGGAGGTATGCCTGACCTCTACCTCATAGGAATCAACCTTGTGCTGATCTTGATTCTGGTCATTATCCCCACTGAAGTTAGACAGGTTGTGATGCTACTACTACCATTTTACAAGTGCAAAACTGGTTTAACATCTGTAAAATTTATCAATATAATTCACCATGTTAACAGAATAAAGTGGAAAATATTTATTTCAATAGATGAAAAAAGTCATTTGACAAAATTTAATACCATTTGTGATAAAAACTCTCAACAAACATTTTTTTCTATTAAGCTAAGCATCATGCTTTCTAATGACATCAACATAATTACTGATTTGCTTTATCCTTCAAATATACAGGACTTATTATCTGGGCCATGATGCAGTATCTGACTTATCCTCAGGCCATTCATAACCAATTACAAGAGCTGGACAAATGCCAGCACTGGACAACAACAGGCAAAGTAAATGCCCACATTCACCTCACTTTCTCCCCACCTTTTCTAAACTGTAGTACAGAGATTGTAGTAGAGGCTTTGAAGTCAGCTCGAAGGATGGAACCCCAAAAGTCTGTGTAAAAATCTTCCTCAGGTCCTTGGCCAAGTCCTAAGCTGTGCATGCCCAAGGTGACCTCTGAGACTCCCTGAAGAGCCGCTGGGGGCTGAGGGTGACGGGCTGAGGAGACACTGGAGTCCAAAGTCCACAATGGAGTAAGAGACCTTGTTGAACACAGCAGGCTCTCAGCTGTAGTTTCACAGAGGCCGTGCCCTGGGTGGGAGGGCCACACCCTTGGTTTGAGGGCAAAACAGAGACAAACCTGCCCTAACAAAGCCTAAACGCAAGCCTTGACAGGAAGGTTTCATTGCCAAAAAAAACTACCCAAACCCACTGCCGGTCAAGTTGATTCTAGAACAAAACCTAGCACTCTCAGAGGGAGATAACACAATCTGGAGCCCCTGCAACATTCCATCCATGATGTCCAGCACACAGGAAAGAATTCCTGGACATGCAATGAAGCAGGAAAAAGTGGCTGGTAATGAGAAAATAAAACAATCAGCAGAAACATATCCAGAGGTGATCCAAATATTCAAGTTAGCAAACAAAGCCCTCAAAATAAATAAGACTATTGTGTTACAAAAAAAATAGAGAAAAAGTTGAATAAAATGGACATGGAGTATCTCAACAAAGAATTACGACTACAATATAAAGGCGAAAATGCAAATTACAAAATATGAAACCCCACTGGATGGGGTTACCAGCAGCGGATAACATGGAAGCTCCCTGGCAGATGGACGCCACCTACGGCTTCCGCACACACAGTGGATCCCCTGGGGGTCACCCTCAGCGCTGCTCAGGGGAGGCACCTTCCCTGTGCTCCAGTGACCTCAAAAGGGCAGAGAGCTGTTCTCTGCTCAAGTTCCCTCCACACTGGCATTGTGAGCATCCGGAAGTTCCCAATTACAAAACCATGCAACAACACACAGTCAGCATCAAGATCAAGGCAGGAGACTAGGAGGGAGGAGGGGTGCCAGGAAGTGAAATTCGACCTGTAACGCACTGTGCTGCTGTGTTAGGCTTGAACAGAAATAAAACAAATTCCCAGGTCAGCTCTTCCCCAAGGGTCTGGTAAGAGGGGAAGGGCTGCTCCAGAGACGCAGCAGTTAACACCCCACCCCCTCCACTGCTATCATCCCTAGTGAGTTTGCCTCTCAGCCCCTGCAGGTGACGCCCGCCCTCCTCCTCCCTGCAGCGCCCCCACTCAGCCTGTTTCCCTAAGTGTGGGCATGTGTTCCCCAGGAGGGGACCGGGGTATGCTGCGGGGAAGTTGGGGGTCAGCAGAGGGAGCCGCTCATGGTGGAGAAGGAAGCAAACCAAAGTCACACCTCAGCCACCTTGGCCCTTTCAGACTATACGGACCAGCCACTGGGGGAGGCTGAGGGCACCTGGGTTGCCTACATGCCTCCTGTCCCAGAAAGGAGAGAGACGGGGGAGAGGCAGGGACCTGGGGAGAGTCAAGGAAGAAACAGACAGAGGAGGGAAAAGGAGGGAGGGAGAAAGAGGCTGAGGAGGAGGGGGGAAGGAGCTGGGTGAAAATAAACCAAGTGGGGAAAGAGGCAGAAACCACCACTTCTGGACTGCAGGCGGGGCGGGAGAACGGGCATCCGGCACGTCCTACTAGTTAGGTGCTGGCAAGGTCTCACTTAACACCAGCTCCTCACCTACCCTGTGGGCAGCCAGCATCATCTCCTTTCCGGAGGCGCAAACTGGAGGCCACGCAGGTTCAATGACAGCTGTGAACCATGCTGCCAGGGTTCCACTGGGGACAGAGCAGTGTTGTCGGCAAAGGCTGTGCGCCCACAGGTGCTCTGGTGAGGTGACCCCTGCCCCCAGTATCACCGTCAGTCTGCAGACGCCGAGAACGGCTCTCGGAAGAAGAGATGAGTGAGAACAGCAGTGACTCACACGTGCCTGTTGAGCTTGGCGTCGGATCGTTCAGAAGGCTCTTTTAGGCTCGCTCGAATTATCGACCCTCCAGACACCTAGAACCCAGCAGTTGGCACTCAGTACCTGTGGCCAGGGAACAGCAGACCAGGGACCCAGGATGTTATCCTCCAGCCCTGGTGGGACCGGGCAGACCCTATTCCACCTTCCCTGGGACTCACGGAGGTCGGCGGGAGGGCAGAAAATGAATCAGGCAGTGGTTCGTTTAAAGACAGTCCTAGGTCAGCCACTTGGAGGCAAGTGAAGCATCATATAGATTTTTCCCAAAGATCTAATTCCTCAGGGGTGACTGGTGAAAGCATTTTCTCACTAGAGGTCTGATTTTACATCTTATAACTTACAAGTGAAAATTAGGTCTGTGGCTTCTGTCTTAACTCACTGCTGGGAAATACCACAAACCCACGGGGTGGCCAGGCAACACAACACGTGAACATCTGCTTCTAAAGGGCTGAGAGCTGCCAGGGAGAGAAGAGGCTGCTCAGAAGGACCCTCGTGGACTCCGCCGACAGGGAAGGGAATCCGCGAAGTTCTGATTTTCACACCTAACTTAAGATGAGACCAAGAACTAGTCCAGTGGAGGGTGGAGCAGGCAAGGCTGCCCTCCTCCTCTGTCCCAGGCTGTCCCCAGCCTTGTTCCGGGGGGTCCCTGTCCTTCCCCTTCTCAGGGGCATCTTGTGGAGACTCCCGATTCAGCTGGCCCTGAGGGCAAGGGAAGAGCTGAGTGAAGTGGGCCCCCCCAGGACAGGCCTGCTGCCAGGGAACAGGACCTGGGCCCAGAGCCTCAGAGAAGTGCCACTGGCCTAGTGGAGACAGGCCTGCAGGGAGCTCCTGTTACTTCACCTCATCCTCCCAAGGGGGAAACACCCACATCTCAGTTAGCAGACAAGGCACTGACCAACCCAGCACACCTCGGCTTTGGAATTGGGGCTCGGAA